CCTTTCCCTCCTTTTTCCCTTTCATTCAATCCAAACACACCAACCCAATTAACGTTTGCAAGAGAATATGGAAGATCAAAGAACCCCTCTTCTTAATTGGGCTTACTTCTGCCAAGGAAAGGTAAGAGCTTTCTTCTTCCCTTGAGGGATTTACTTCTCTTCTTCTTTTGCAATATCATGAAGATATTAGTTAATGGGTTTGGTTTGCTTTTTCAATTTTATGGGTTAACAAAGAGAGTAATGGGTGTCTAATTCTTCTGAATTTTGTTGTAATTGTGCAGACAATCGACGAATTAAGGAATTCTCTGTTGTGCACTACTGTGGAGCTAGAACAGACCAGAATGATAGCTTTAGAGGAGTTGAAGAAAAGAGATGAGCAATTAACTCAGCTCGAGGAGTTGCTGAACAAGACAATTCGAGAAAGGGATGAAGCTCAGGAGAAATGTCAAAGATTTTTCCTTGAGAAACTCTTGATTCAACAGCAGCAGCAGCTACAATGGCAACAAAAGCAACAGCAGCAACAGCAGCGGGGTGGTCCTCTGTCTGGGACTTCCAGCGTTGAAGATGAACCCAGAAGAGGAATTGACTCCGCCAATGGATTCTCCTCCTCGGATTGTGAAGAAAGCATTGTTTCCTCTCCTGTTCTCGACCCAATTCAGCAACCCCAACTCCCACCAGCCCCACCACAGCCTCTGCCACAACCAACCATGGAATTGGTCCCTGAAAAGCCGTTGCCCGAAAAGGGAAGGCTTTTGCAGGCAGTGATGAAGGCGGGTCCGCTCCTGCAGAACCTACTTCTTGCCGGACCACTGCCTCAATGGAGACACCCACCACCACCACTTGAGTCCTTTGAGATCCCACCGGTGACCATTCCTTCACCTCCACCACCGGCCCCACAGCTCCTCCGCCATGACACCGTGACCACCATTAACGGCTGCAACACTCTAAACTCCTGCGGTAAAGTGAACAGGAAAAGGGCTTTGTATGATGGGTCAGAATTTCCCACAGAGGCCAAGTTCCAAAGAGTAGTTCTCCATTGATTACTAATTAAGTAGTTAATACTACTAATATTAGTATTAATTTTAATAGTATTTACCATTTTAATTAATTACTTGGTAATTTAGATGGTGGAATTTGGGTATGTGACTGATCCAAAAATCTAGCATGCCGTTGTTGTACAGAGGAGGTTGAAGAAGATGCCCAACTTTAACTCATTGGAGGAGATAAAGAGAAAAAGGAGGTTTTGTTTTGCAATTTGCCAAATGCTTTTCGGGTGAAGAAGAAGACATTTTTTTTCTCTTTTTTTCATCTTCCTTTCCCATTTGGATGTAATGTGAAAGGGGGGGTAGGGGTTGAGGCTTGAGCTTGATTTCTCTGAAATTGGGTTTTGGTTATGGAGGGAGTTGGGATGTAAAAATTGTGACCCTTTTAAGATACCATTGTACTACTACTCCTGGTAAAGCTTGTTTTAGTGTGGGTTTTGAGTTAAGGGATTTTTGCAAAAATTAAAGAAAAGAAAGAATCCAAGAGAGTGAAGAAGTTGTTCGGGTAAGGCCAACAACCAAGAAGGTCCAAGAGGGATTGGTTGTCGGGTTTGTGGAACCCACAAATCAGAACCGGATCTGTTACTGGTGTGATGATATGTATTATTGATTTCAATTATATTAATTAATCCCTTTGGTTGAGGGATTTAATCTTCTTCTCATTTTTTATATACTAATATTAATAATACCATGCTGTAACCTTGAAGCTTTTTTTTTTTGGTTTATCTGCCTCCACTCACCTTCTTTATACCTTGATATATATATACTCTTTTTGCCCACAATATTTAAAGACATAAATTTGGTATTGGCACATAGTTCATGAAATGAATTT